GCCCGGGATGTGCGGGAATTGCCCGGGATGTGCGGGAACCGCCCGGGATGTGCGGGAATTGCCCGGGATGTGCGGGAATTGCCCGGGATGTGCGAGAGCCGCCCGGGATGTGCGGGAACCGCCCGGGATGTGCGGGAGCGGCCCGGGCTGTGCCCGCGAGGTGGCAGCCTGGGATGGGATCTGCCTGCGCCGCTCCGCCTCCGCACGGCCCCTCTCCAACGACAGAGCCCCAGGTAGCAGAGGTGACATTTGCTTTACATTATGATACACACTAATTAATCATTAGCGATCCCAAAAGTATGTCGACTAAAAATGCTTTGCTATGGCTCATCACAGTAGGGGCTTTCAATATTGATACTGTTAGGCACACATGTGCTCCGCGGCTGGTTGTTATATACCCATGGATTTAGTGTTTCGGGCTACAGAATATCTTTTAAGTGCTGCTAATTATTGTTTGCTAAAATGCCTTTCAGTCGGTAATGAACTTAACGTCTTGTACTTTCTGCGATAAACTCTGGAGGTCACAAAACGATCTGACTGGGAGATTAAATGGGAGCTTTACAAGCCAAAGCTGCTGCAAAACCGACTGGAACTTTCTGTGGCATAGCCCAGGCTTTTTGGAGGGGCTGGTATTTTTGCAGCCGTGTTTCAGTCGCTGTGCCAACAGCCGGGGGCCAGCCCCCTTCAGCCCCACAAGCCCTGGCACGGCCGAACAGTGCCACAGCACGGGGCACTGCAGACACCAGGGTTCTGGAAAAGGTGATGCCTGACTGCACCTCACATGTGACCAAAGCTTTGTGTCACTACAGCGGGGACACTCGGTTCACCTCTGCTCCCAGGGATGCAGCTGGAAAACAGGAGGTGATGAGGAGTGTAGGGAAGCTCACGTTAATAAAGCTGGACAGGAAGGTCAGGAGATCCGAAAGCACCAGCAGCTCTCAGTCCAGCCTCACAACTTTCAACCCTACATTAAAGTACCCAGGACAGACAGAAAAAGGAGGCAAAGGGATGGACCTTGGTTTCAACTGAGTATAAGATGGGAATTTTTGGAAAAGTAAGTGCAGACCTTCTCCCTGGGAACCCTCTTCAGTGGCTGCAAAGCTGCTGAGCGGTCTCATTTCTTCAGCTCATCACTGCTGCCCAGAACAGCCCAAACCCAAACATCCCTGACAGGTCCTGCCTCAGCACTCCCGCTCTCAGCAGGTCCATCTCCAGTCATCCTAAACAAACACCCTCTCTAGAGAGAAGGATACGTGCTCTTACCTTAGTGTCATGGTTTGGGAGTACTTCAGCAGATTCTTTTAAATGGTAGAGGATGTCCAGGTGTACACCAATGAAGGGAATCACAAATGGTCATGATGTTCTGTAAACCAAAAAATCCCGAGTTCTAAAACAGTAACAAAAGCCCTTGTTTTAAAGAGAGCCAACCAAAAATCACATTCCATGTTGGATGACACCATTCAAAGCATCTCTGGGGGTCACCTTACCCCAGGCTCTTACAAGAGAATATTCTGAGTTGGAAGGGACCCACAAAAAACCTCAAGTCCAACTCTTAAGGGAATGACCCATATGGGTGGGAATCAAACCTGCCACCCTGGTGTTTTTTAACATTGTGCTCTTGCCTGAGCTAATCTCAGGGTCTGCATTGGATGGCAGCTAAGCTGTCTAGAAAATTCTGTTCTAAGCAAAAAAAAAACCAAGCCTTTGAATCTGCTGGTGCTGCAAGACAAATATTGAAAGGTGAGCACAGGCTTGTGCAAGGTTATGAACTGGATGTCGATGATGCTTCTCCTCAGGGAAGTGAAGATGGAGCAACCAACAAACATTTGTTCCAGGACTTTTCTCTACCGTGCACCACCCCTGTGTCAGAGGGACTCATGCCAGCCCAGACTCAATTGTTCCCACCTCCACCAATGCTCTGGTGGGCCCACACTCATCTCTGCTCTCTCCTGTAAAAGCTTTGGCTCTCATCCCAAAATCCTGTTCCTAATGTGAACAATTTGTTGGCGCAAGTCAAGGCTAGGTCAGCATTTAACAGCTAAAGAATGGCAAAACCATTATTGGTCTAATGGGTCAGGAAATTAGTCCTGTTCAAGTAATGTAACTATATTAAAAACACAGAAAATAAAATAAAAAGGATAACGGGGAAGTGAGAGAGAGGCCAAAAAAGAAAAAAAGGGAATTACGAGTTCTGTGTGATTTCAGGACCTGAGATTTTAACAAAAATATCAAATACCACTAAAGTTTTGATACACCTGTGACAGTGGAGATTTACAGTTTACTTGACTTCTTTCACTTTTAGTCCCACTAATGCAGTTTGGAGATTATATAGAATAAATAACCAAGATTATAAAAAAATAGGACTTGTGGGATTCAAAGTCCCTGGATTCACAGTAAAGCCCTTCCCATGGACAGGTGATTTCTGAAGGGGTGAGGCACCATCACCTGCAGGACCTGCAGAAATCCTGGTCCTGCACTCTGATGTTCCAGGGCTCCAGATGTTTGCAGCCCTGCAGACACCAGCTCCCACCCATGTTTTTTCTGAGCAGAATTTGCTACAGGAGCATGGAGGAAAATTTCTTCTTTCCCCATGTGGCCACTGTCAGGGCCACAGTTTCCACAAAGCTCTGTAGCCCTCAGACACATCTGCATTCAGCCACTTAGATCTGCTTGTAATGTTTCTTCTTAACTAGCAACCCTCTAAAGATTTTCTAATTCAACAACGAAGTACTCAATATTTTGGCAGTTACTGTGCATTCCAACACACTTTGCCCCTCTTATTGTCAGTTCTTCAAAAGTGAAGAGAAAGAGGTAGTCAATGTAGAGCATTTTAACTGCTACACCAGTAGGCTTTCAAGCTCTGTTTTAAAACTTTAGATTAAACCCTGCTCTATTCTCTCCCTCTCTCATGCCAACCATAACACTTATTTAAAATTCCTTCTTTTCCTGACGTATTACAAGTCTGAAAGCTCCCATGGCAGTTTAAACCTTGGCATCTTTTCAGCAGCCCCCTGATTTATGAGCTTAGGGTTTCTACATTCTAGCTGCTTTACACTGAGGCTTGAAAATGTAGCAAGAAAATAAAAAATAAATAAAAGAGAGAGCTGACTTCTAGCAGCGGGATAGTACTCCTCAAGACGTGCCGATTTAGTTCCCCTCTTACTTGTGAAACAAATGGTGTTTTATGCTTAACACAATCAGGACCATTCTCTATCTGTTGCTTTCTAACCTTCCCCACCTGTGTGAAACCCAGCCAGAGCTTAATGAACATACTTGGAGCTGTCTGGACTGAATTAGTCCCAGTAGGAGTCACCCTTCAGGTACTCCACAGTCTCTCACGGCCGTGTAACTGCAAAGGAATACAAGAAACCTTTACTCTGGGGCTAATTAAATAAAGGTTTGCCTCTGCTAAGTGCATTTTTTCCCTTCCAAAAGCAAGTAATGTCTCATGTGCTGAACTATTTTGGAAGCATTTGCAATTATCTTGAAAATTTGGGAAGACGATTTTGGCATGAAAATGGGGGCAGAATGTGATTTTAAGCAACATTTGTCTTCTGGTTTTAAACCTTCTTTACTTCTACCTATCAAATTATTACAATAATTACCTTGCAAATGTAAGGCATTACCAAAATAATGTTTTTTTCAAAATTCACATACAAAATTTTTGTTTTTACTATTCACACCTTAAATTTGCATTTTTCCACTTGAAATTCTAGAAAAATTATCTTTTTGGCAGCAGATTATTTGAAATGAAATTACAAGCTGGCTACTTTGACCATATTTCACATCCCAGACAGTAAATATTTAAAATGTTATGAAGACATGCTAAAGTGATTTCCTTCATGCTAATTATCAGTTGTAGAATATTGTTGTAGAGAAGTAATTCAGCAGCTTGAGATTGCTTCCAAAGTACCTATGGTGGGATCTCTAAGTTGGTTTATACACTGAAATTTCAGCTGCTGGCTTTTGTTCTTCTGTCTGATGTATGAGACAACTCCATATGGTTTCCAACCTGAATAGCACAAAATTTCCCTTAAATTAATTGGAGTGTTGATATGAAGCAGGCATATTTTGTTTTCCAGTCTAGCTTAGACCAAGAATGAGATCTCACTGGGTTGCAACCAAGTGGATGGCCAAGCATCCTCAGGAACGTTCACAAAAAACCCCAAATTATCCGAGTTGTCCATCTGCAATTCCCTGATGATGAGGTTGGGCTGTGAATCCTCCCCACGGTGTCCAGCAGCACAGCGATGAGTCCAATCTTCTGCACACACCACGGGGGCTCCAGCACACTGAGGAAGCCTCAGTGCTCAGCTAAAACAGGGATCCGGAGCGTTAAAATTCCCTGTTTATCATCAAGAAACACAAAATGCTTCCTCCTGCTCTTCACCATGAAGCACCATCAGGACTGTTTGCTGAACTTCTTCTCAAAAAGAGCCATGCCAGCTCCTTGCCTTGGAGATAAAGACACCAAACTTATGCCATGGCAGCGTCTGCTCTGGGGCAGAGAGGATGCTGAAAACTGTATGACCACAGCCCAAAATATTCTTCCTTGTTTGGGAAAGCAGAGGATGATGCAGGGGGTACTCCACAGAGGATGCTGAATCAGATCAGAACATTTAACAAAACCTGACAAAGCACAAGGGCGTTATTTAAAGTAGGAAATGGGCAAGCCAAGCATACAAGGCAGAGAGAGGCATGCAGTCAGCTGTGTGTCAGTAACAGGATCTGAGATGTTTGTCTGTCTCCAGGAATCGAGACACCCACGGGAAGGATCTGTACCAGCCCTAAATTAAGATACAGAACTGGGAAAGAGACAGTCTTCTCCATGGTCACTCTACCCAGAAATTCCAGTCCTTGGTCTTCTCTACCCAACCAAACCCCCAAACTCTACCTGCAGAATCAGCTCTCCTACTCAACCCGGCCATGATGAGCAAATGCAGTTTTAGAGAAGTGCACTGGATGAGGGCAACATTCATTGGGCTGTAGAGCTCTTTGAGGAACTGCTCCATTTGGATTATAAATCAAGATAACTGTTGGAAGTTACCTTTCTTGCTTAAAAAAATACCAACAAAGTGCCCCTTTTCCAGTGAAAATGACATGCAGAGTTGAAGAACTCACTCTAGCTGAATCACTAAGTATAAAGGGGCACAGTGTAATTAAGTTCAGTGTCCTTGTGGGAGGGAATGCAACAAAACCTAGCACTGTGACATTAAGCTTTAGAAAGGGGATTTAAAAAAAA